CACTCTTTTCTGCTGCACACAGGACAGCCAGCGTATGCCTGTTCTGTTAGAGGAAAATGCCAGTTCACGGTCACCGCACCCCTCAGTCCCATCTGATGTCAGCGCACAGCGGAAGGCAGATATTCCTCGGTGTCCTTCTGCGACCGCAAGAGCGGAGCACCGGCAGGTGGTGGCAGCATTGGCCAGCTGCTCTTGCAATGCTGTGCCTGCTCAGGCAAGAGGCGAGGCGGGAGGACCTGGTGTTCTCAATCTGCCAGTCCTGCTGGTCCTGATGAAGGGAGGGCGGGATTCTGCAAGCTGGAGATGCTTTGGCTCAATCAGGATAACTTTCTCCACTGGTTTGGGGAAAGTATATTGAGCACTGTCTGTTTCACTGGATTAGATAATGAGTTGGAGAAGTGCTAGCGGGCTGGCACAGATAGTTTGGGGAACATTAAAGCTCAATAAAATGGAGAGCCTAGGTAAAAGCTTATCGTCTTATTTCTGGGGTCATGACAACAGAAGGCCTCTGATTATAACCAAGGGGGGCAGACCCTGCTCCATCTCCCCAAAAAACCATCTCCGGGACCTCAAGATCTTTTATGTAATTTTGTTTTGTTTTCATAAGGACCAAGACATAGGGTGTTGCCCAAGATCCTTCATTTCTCCTCCGCTGCGGCCTATTTGTGTCCTTCTCTTCTCAATGGCCTCTTCCTGTTACAGGGAAGCTTGGCTTCTGCTATTATTTATAGTTTGCAAAAGACAGACTCTGTGGTTTAAAGGCATCTGATGGTCAAGTGTAGGGCTCAACTTCCTTCAAGAAGAGAAGAGGGAAGATTTCCTCTTCCTTTTGCTTCTAGGAAGCGACCTTCACTGGTACAGTGGGAGGCCCGGAAGACTAGCGCAGCTGGGTATAGCCGCTAATGGTAGGTTGCATTTCCTGCCTGTCAGGCCTGCTCAGAGCGCAGTCTCCATGCTTGATAGGGAAACAACAGCAAAGGGCAGGTGCAGTTGCTCTGTTTTACAGACGAGGAGGGAGTGTGCTGAGTGACATGTCTACTCCAGTGCCCACCGGAACTCCGTGGCAATGTCAGTGTCTCTCTCTGATTCCGTGCCCTCTGACCCACTGCTGAGCTACCTTCTGGGCAACTGGATGTCGAGTAGTAACAGCCTACTTCTTGAAAAGGGGGAAATAAACCAAAACCATTTGGGACTGCTCCAAGGGTAGATGCTGCTTCCCCCCAGCCAGAGGGCCATCTGTGTGACCCTGGGCATCCATGAGAACAGCAAGACAATAAAAGTGTTGTCAAAGGCATATGATGTCATTTGGTGAGGACAATAGCAGTGAAACACAAGGTGGCCCGCTCGGAGTCAAGGAAAATGATTTGATCAACGAAATAAGGAGGTTGAAATACACACATGCACACATACATCCAGGCACATGTACACATGCATGTGGACACACACATACACACAGGCACAAACAGGTACAGGCCCATACATAATACACGCACAGCCAGTTTGTAAAGTAAAAAGTCTTTGTGTGCACGTCTGAAGAATTATGCTCAGTCCTTTGGAGACGAGGGTACGAAATCCTCAAGCCCCCAGGGCTCTGTGTGGAGCTGAGCGCAGATCAAGCAGAGCTCTTGGGAAACTCTTTTTGAGAAAGCAGACAGCAGCTGAGCCTAAGAAGGTTTGATTGGCAACTGTACACTCATCACAGGAAGTCACGGGACGCTTCTCAAAGTCATTTGGAACTTTGCAGTTTGTGGCTAATCCTCTTACTTTCCCGTCCCTTTCGGCGTGAGCCTTCCAGTGATTTAGCATTATTTCTTTGTAGGCTCATGTTCAGAGGCGGTTGTTGGCTTTTCACTTCTTCTCTCTGTTTCTTTTCCTTACAGAGCAGTTTAAGAGTTATCAGACTTGAGCTGTGTTTGCTGTAGGGTAGCGAAGGCTCCCATGCTGGAAAGACAGTCCTGGGTTACTGGGCAGTCGGCCTGTTTGCCAGTCAGAGCCTTTCTCAGTGTCTCCCAGATATAACAAGCCACAGTCATCTTCACTCTGTCCCATCCATCCTTTCTGGTCTAGAGGGCAGGCACTGGTGTCAGTTTGGCCTCCAACCAGCAGGGGGTGTTGTTCATTCCTCTTTATTATTGAGGGCAAACCAGAGTCCCTCTAAGATCTGGAGGCAGGCTGCTCTGAGCCTTTACCTCACCTGTGATCCTTTGTGTTTTGTGGATGGACCGAGAAGATACGTCGTTCTCACCTCTTTCCTCTGTCACTGCTGTGTTTAGAGTAAAATCGGATGTCATAAGTGTAAAGTAATAGAACTGCCTTCCCAGAGGAAACAGAGACATAGGCCACCTAAAATAAGACCAATTTGTTACTTAAATCTGAGCCAGAAAGGAGGAGGGTGAATGACCATCTCTCAGAGAAATTTTAGGGAAGCTCCCATTTTTCTTCTCTGGATTGGTTGTTGAATTAGCTTCTGAGTTCTATCGCACATGAACAGAGCTGTTTTTTCTCAGTACTGTGTTGTGTGTGTGCCTTGAGCATCCTGGATGCTTGTGCCCTCTTTGGTGACCTTCCACTTGCTTCCTGAAGTTTCCTAGAACTTTTCGCCCTCGTTGTGTCTAGTGGTCCTTCTGGTGGTACCCAAATGACATCTAACACAGCCGTGAGAGCTGACTTAGCATCTGAAATACTTACTGGGACTATGTGTGCAAGAGGAGCTAAAGAAACCCAGGTCACAACCGAAGGATGGTCCAGGAGTGACTTATGACACTTACAAGGGCTGTATTTTTAATGTATTACATTTAGTGTGCCGTTCTAGAAAGCAAGCATGCCTCTGGCTTCCGTGGTGGATGGCAAGGCTTACATCCTGGGATGCCTTGGAGGAGAAAGGGTTTCAGATGGAGTTGCAGCTACTCTCACTCGGCCTCTGCATTTGCTGTGGAAAAATCACAAGGTCTTTCTGGGTCTAGAGAAAAATCTGCAGGTTAGATGGATTTGATTTAGCATTTTTTCCTCGTTTTTTTTTCCCTGTTTTTCTTTTTCTGAGGTAGGAGTTACTCTTAATCTATTATCCAGGCTGGTTTTGAACTCCTAAACTTGAGCAATCCTCCCTGCTTTAGGCTCCTGGATAAATGGGACTACAGATGAGTGATACCACACCTGTCTTTGAGTAATTAGTTTCTGAGCTTTCTCTAGTTCCAGAGATGCCAAAAATCACAATTTGCCGCCTCTAAGACAGGCCATTTCTAGAACTGAGTTTAATATTATCGATTTTCTTATTACTTTTGTGGTGCTAGGAACTGAACCTAAGCTTTGGGCATGCCTAGCAGGTGATTTACCATTGATCAATATTCCAGACACCTCCTTATTTTCTTTTGTCTTGAGATTGCCTAGGCTAGCCTCACTTGCCATCTTTCTCCGTCAGCCTCCTGGGGAGTTTGGAACTGTAGGCATGTGCCAGCATGCCCAGTTATGCTCATCTCTTTGTGAAAACTTATCCCTCTGCTGTAGTGAAGAGACTCGCCTCACTAACTGGTATCAGTCTGACCTAATTATGAATGGCAGTTCTAAGGTATGAATGACGCAACACTAATGTCACCTCACCATTCAACTCTCTTATAAAGTGGAAACTAAAATTAAACTATCTTACCGAGTCTTTTTAGGTTAACACCATTAACGACTTCATCCTGACATCTTGAAGTTTAATAATGTAATTCGTTAAATAATTTTTCTTGTGGATAGCATGGAGATTGTAATGGGTGTACCGTCTCTTATTAGCATGAACTCTGAGGGCAGCCATTTTGTTTTATCTAGCATAGCTCACCTCATTAATCTCTTTGTTTCAGTTGCTCTGCTCTGTTATGCATGTAGTTGGGGAGCTCATTAAATGCACGGCTGGCATGTTGTCTTTTAAAACAATCGTGACACTCAGATAAGTTTAGAATAAAGATGTGTCACTGTTTTGCTGAGCTCTTGAATGAAGTTCATTATCAGTGAGAAAATAAAGTTCATCTATCATTGAAGAGTAGGCTGAGAATTCTGTAGTTTTTAGCAAGACTTTTTTCCCCCTAAATTCAAGATAAAATTGGTTAGTATGCAATGGGGAACTGAAGCCGCCACTTTTGAAGTCACCTCTTCGTGAGTGTAGTTGCGCTGTGAGAGCCATAGCTGAAAATTCTTAGGAGGACCTACGGAACATGGGTCTGTGTGATGTCATGAAGATTTATAAATTTCTTTTTGCTACTCTTGGGCTTGGAGCTGTTTGTCTAAATTGTAGTACGGTTATATTCAAAGCATGATTTATCCTAGAACAAAGGTTAAATGGAACACGTGATTCTAGTAATTCTAGTCTGCAAGTATGTACTTTCTGCCTAAATTTATATTAGATGCTACGTCCTTACATAATTATGTTTTCATAGTGAATCAGTAAAGAGAATATGGGAGCAGTTAAGAAAACACTAGGAGTTTCTAAACTGATGCTGTGGAGGTTGTCATCTAAAGAGTGCCCTCACGGGCCGTAGACAAGGTTCTGGTCTGCACATGCATTGCCGTTTAAGATGTAAATGGTCCTGTGAGGTGGGTATCATTATCTCATTTTGAAAATCAGATGAATGAGTCTCTGTGAAGTTATGCAATTTAAAATCAAGGTTCTGCGGCCTCTCTGAGCCAGGGTTAACATTTAGTCTGATTCTGAGTTTTATATTTTCTCTGATGCTCCGTTATATTACCCTTCTAAATGGCCTTAAATTCTCCTACATTTTAAAGTGCATATCTAGATAAACACGCAGATGAATGGGTCCCAATTTGCTTATATAATAGAGCATGCATAAAGCGGTCTTTTTCCTATTAAAGGGTTGGCCATTTTGAAACCACTCGAAGTAAGTCCCTGATGGCTGGATTAAACATGAAGTTTAAGAATTCTGACCTTTCCAGCCTCCTTCTGTAGGTTCTTTCTTGGTGACTTATTGTCTTTCTTTTATCTCTTCTGGTCCCCCATGTGTCTGTAGGTGGGCTGGATCCTCTCCATCCTGGATGAGCTGCAGCTGAGCCCACAGCCTCCTGTGGGGGTGCTTCCACTGGGGACTGGGAATGACCTGGCTCGGACACTCAACTGGGGAGGGGTAAGAACTGGAGGTGGCTGCTCCTACCCTGGAGGAGCAAACCATACCCCCAGACCACTCGGTGTTCACTGCTAGAAGCAGTAGGTTGCTGCTGTCTCCCAGGGACAAGTCAGACATGGGGCTCCAGTTGCCTGTTTGTTTGTAGCTTCTTCAGTTTAAACTGAAAGGAGGGAGGGAGTCTTATATGAGTCAAACACATACTAAGTACACAGATAGGGTGGTTGTTGGGCTGGCCTCAAGTGTTCATGGGAAACAATCGTGCAGATTTGTAGTCATCCTAATCCTTAGCCCTGGCCGTAACTGCAAATCTGGTTTAGACTTCAGACCTATTATTTGAGATAGGCACTACTGCTTTTGAATGTGGAGATTTTCTGATCATTGTTGTTGTAGCTTTGATGATTCCAGTATATCCTGTTGCCCTTCCTCTGCTGACTGATTCTCTGGAAGTTGTGAGAGAAGTCCCCCCCCATCATTAACTGACTAGTCTGTGTGTGTATTTATCTTACTGTACTAATATTTAAGAAGCTACTAACACACCCAGCCCAGGAGCTATTAGCATTAAAAGCTGCTGGGGGTAGTAATTTTTCTTCAGCGATGTAGTCCCTGGTAAATAGCTCATGCTCCAGCTAAACACCCCACATCCAAGAAGCTCAGATTAAACTCGGGGGACCATTAGGAAAAAGACATGAAAATTAGAAAGGGGCTTAGGAAGAGAGGAGGAGGTCGGAGGGAGTGAAAGGAGAATAGCAGGGTGGTGGGGTGGGGAGAGTATGCCCAAAATACATTATATACATGTAGGAAAGAGTGGGAGAATAAATTTTTTTCCTTTTCTGTTTTGGTTTTTTGAGATTGGATTTCTCTGTGTAGCTTTGGAGCCTGTCCTGGTACTTGTTCTGTAGACCAGGCTGGCCTCGAACTCACTGCCTCCCAAGTGCTGGAATTAAAGGCGTGAGCCACTGCTGCCTAGCTTAAAATATTTTTAAAAGACACTAACATGTTTGCTTGCCAATGTGCTAAGACCCTCTTATTAGGCCACTCATTGCCTGGCCTCCGTTTTGTAGGACAGTGATCTTCAGATCCATGGCAGACACTGAGCTGACCCTGTAGCAGAATTAACCTATCAAAGTATTTTTTGTTGTTATATTTTTGCTTTACTTCTTTTTCTTTATCAATAGCTGATACAAAAACAAAGGCTCTTACATGAAACAACTAACCTATTACTTATGTCAGTTTCTCTTATCCAAATCCAGCGACCTTGCATAACCATGCCGTCACTAAGAGCTCTCCAGGAGAGCAGCGTTCTCTGCAGCAGCCCTGCTTCTGGGCTGACTTGCCTCAGGCCACGGCTGGTGGCATCCCAACACAAGATCAGGGATTGGTGAATGAGATAGGACCTTCCATCTTCCTTCACGCTCCCCCTCTTTCCCACACCCGCTGGTTCTTGGTGCCTTCGCTTAGATAAGGCAAAGCTAGTTCCTGCATTTGCCCTTCTTTTCAGTGTTCTCCTTCACGTACCTAAATGGGTAAAACAGCTCACTCTTCCAGCCTTTGCATTTTAAAACCAGCAAGATTATGACTGACTCCGAATTGCTTTGGTATGGCATTGATTGTGGCTTTCTGATCCAGACAGCAAGGGTCTGTGCTCTGATTCTGTCCTCAGGGCTACACCGATGAGCCTGTTTCTAAGATCTTGTGCCAGGTGGAAGATGGGACTATTGTACAGCTGGACCGCTGGAACCTCCATGTGGAGAGAAACCCGGACTTGCCACCAGAAGAACTTGAAGATGGCGTGTGTAAGGTTAGGAGTTCTTCCTTCAGGGGCCAGAGTGGTAGCTCAGCAGTGAAGAGAGCTCACTGCTCCCGCAAAGGGCCGCAGTTCAGTTCCCAGCTCTTGGCTTTGGTGGCTCACAGTTGCCTGGGAGTCTAGCTCCAAGGGATCTGGCATCCTCTTCTGACCTCTGTAGACACTTGCATGAATGCGGACACACATACATGCATACAAATAAATAAAAATAGTAATAAACTGAGAGAGAGACGAGATTGATTGATTCTTCTCCAACTGATGGAACACAATAAGACACATTCCTTAAGGCACATTCATGGGCTCCTGCCTTCCAGAAGATAGCAGGATAGCGTTGGGCTTCTGGCTCTTAAGTCACCACCCTTCCTGATCCCTCCCCACAGACCCGTCAGGTCAGGGACCTGTCCTCTGTCTCAGCTCCACACTAGGGAAGCATGGAAACAGTTGTTGATCTCTTGAGCTAGAAGCATGCAGCTTACAAGGAGATGGAATACATGTATGTTCCTAAGCACATACATGTGTTTCCAGGAGGAGGGAAACCTTAGACCTTGCTGGCCTGACATTAAACAGCCCTTCTCTGTAGCCCAATTGCCTCATCTGCTTGGGGCTTGAGGTGGCCTAAACAAGTAGTCTGTCTTGGTGTTTCCTTTTGGTGAGTGAGCTTTTATGGAAAAACAAAACAAAACAAAACAAAAAAAAAAACCTAACCCAAACCAAGGCCATTGTTGTAAATAACACCTAGCCTTGCTTCAGCACTTGAGTGTAAGTTCTAACCTGGATCTCTGAGTAACTTGGTTTGTCACTGTATAGACATGTCCTCCAACTAACTCCTTGCTTTCCTTCCGTAATACTGGGCCTGCCATTTTGTAGACTTAAGAGTCTCCTGGTACACTTGTTAGGATGAAGATTATGTCTCTCTTCAGAGGTATGGAGTAAGTTAATGTAGGGATGAGGCCCCCGCACCTACATCTCAAGTAGCATCCTTGCTAGTTTGGATCCATCCACTGAGCCCATGGTTATTGTCCACCACAGTCCTAGACAATGATGTTAGACACACAGTGTTATGTTTGGCTTAACCATCTCCTCATCTCTTTTCTTGTTTTTTTTTTTCCCATCTAAACTCCACCCCCAAAGTTAATAAATCTATTAGACATCAGGATTGCTCCCTTGAAACTGAGTTCCCAACTGAACATTGTTTAAACATAAGCATATGTGATTCCTTTAACTATTTATTTGACTTAATTGAGATTGGATAGAAAACCACCGAAGTAGAAGGAGGGGGACCTTCTATGGAAGTGGAAAATTTCAGACCTTTCTGCTAAATGTGGAGTGGCGGGGCCTACAATTTAACTCTTTTACAAAACACTTGAGAAATGGAAAGACTTCTTGATGCAGCCAGAGAACATCAATCCAGATAATTAAAGGGCTTTGGGAATGGAGTTTGGGGATATGTAGAAAATTGGGGCACATTTTCCTGGAAAATGTGAATACCTTAAAAACGAACTTAAATTGGGATATTGCTTGGGGAATTGTGACCAGATGTTTTCCTTAGCTATCGGCGGCTGCTGAGACATGGGTTAGAATTGGAGCCAAAGTAATATAAATGGTAGAATGTTTGTGTTCTTTTGGCACGGTCACCATGCTGTCCTTACAGGGGCTGGGGTTTTGTTTAAGTACAGGGACTGGACATTCTCAAATATGAAGCCAGAAGAGTTAGATATGGTTTTGGCATCTCTGTGTAGCTTGAGTTCCTCCAATTCTATAGTCTGTCGAAACCAATTCTAAGGGCTGATGCAGCTCCTGACACATCAAGGCTCAGTCTTAAGGGCTTCAACGCAGGGTCCCCCTTTCTCTTCATCAGAGACAGACATCAAGGCTGTCCTCTTCTGCCCTCTTTTAATGGGTTAATGTTTTCCCTGCAGCTTCCCAGGAAATCTTCCCAATCAGTAAGAAGTATGTACACACTCTAACAAATGACTTTGAAACTTCGAAGGTTTCAACACCTATTTCTAATGGCGAAAGGGTACAATTCAGTTTGGGACATAAACCTGACAATTCTCTAGGGGTGTTGCCTCTTTAAATTCGTATTTATCCTGCATTTTGAGCCACGGAGAGAAACGTGGGGAAATACCCTTTCCTTCCTTGCACTCTCTGTGTGCTATTCTGGTTGTTCTCATATTGAACTGAAGCTTTTAGATGACATCATGTTTGCAATTTCAGTCGGGGCTCTCGGGCTTCATGGCGTTCTTTCTTAGTGGCTCACAAGAAAAGCCAGGGACTCAAGGAATACAGGAGAAAAAGAATTATGTGTTCTCTATATGGTTGTATGGTTGTCATATTAAAGATACAGGGTTAACCAAGTGGGAATCTGTATTATATCTTAATATATTTCATATATATGTATATATACATACCCACATACATATATATGACATCTATATGGCTGTTGTTTTTCTTTCTGTCAGCAATGGCTGATACAAATCAAATGGCTTTCACTGCTTTATTTCTTATATTGAGGTTTGTGAAAACAAAGCACAAATACCCTTTCCAAATAGATTACATGTCAATTGTTTATTTCAGGCTACAGTATTTATGCATTGAATGTAAAACTCTTGAAAAAGGCGCATCCAATGATTAGGGAAATTAGAATGGATCTAGCAATTGAGTCCATTTTCTAAATTCGTGGAATCAATCTCTCTTTGTAGCTCATTGTTACAAATGAGCATCCCCCAGCTTATTGCCACATGCCCAGGGATGACTCTTGTTTAGTAGTTTGTATTTGTGTCTCTTATTTCCTTTATGGTTTATGACTTCTGAGATTTCTTGATTTGAACTTTCATTAATGAGTTAACTCAAGAGCCTTTGTGTCTTGTCCATAAACACGCTCTCTAGTGAGATGTGACTGACCTGTGTCCCACAAGCTGCCTCAGAGATAGGGTCTGGTGTTGGGTCTAGGTTGGTGTCTTCTAGTTGGCTGTGAACAATGTCAACATCACATTTGTCTATCCTTTCAGCTTCCTCTGAATGTCTTCAATAATTACTTCAGCCTCGGATTTGATGCTCATGTCACCCTGGAGTTCCACGAGTCACGAGGTGAGGACCTGCCCCGTTTCTGTCTCCCTGGGAGGAGATTTCCAGCCATGTTCTCATGTTCCCCTTTGCCTGCGTATCACCTGCATGCTTGTGCTTCCCTCTTGTTCACCTTCATGATGACCCTGGGACCTGGACCAGATGGGAACTTGCTATAAATAGAGACTACAGATCTGGCGGTCTCTAAACTCAAGGGCAGGGACAGAGGTCCATTCCAAGTCATGGATGTAAGTCTTTAAGTTTGACTCTTATACTGTGTTCTGAGGATCAAAACCAGAGCTTTGCACATGGAAGGCAAGATCCCTGCCATTAAGGTACCTCCCCAGCTTTGAACAAAAATTCTGAAAAAAAAAATTCTTAGATAACGATTTCTTTACTAATTAGGATGCACTCAGTCTCATAAGCCACCAGATATTAAAGTTTAATGTTCTCTAACCAGAGCCTTTGAAATATGATAGGAAAGATGAAAAGGGAAGGAACAGCCACGTTGACACAAGGGACTGCAGGTCTCTTAGTTTGAGAGGAAGGGGTACGATGGGGTTGAGGTAGCTAGGAAGGTTCTAAGATCTTCACTGGGTGGGACAAGTGAGAAGGAGGTTGTCGTAATTTCTGGGATGAGAAGATGTGGGACCAAGACTCTGGGAGGACAAGTTTTGAAAATAAGATGAACTGGCAGCTGATGGGTACTAAAAAAGGAGAATACTTTCTTTGGGGTTGTGTTCCCTGGTAGATTGGGCAAGACAGTGGAAAGTCCCACATCCATGCGCAGCACGAATCACTCAGTGGATCCCACATAAGATTAGGAGAAGATGTGCTGGGAGGGTCTAGAGAGTGTCAAAGTGGGGGAAGTGGAGGCGGGTATGTTCATGATACATTGTATGCACATATGGAATTTTCAAAGGATAAAAATATTTTAAAAGCTAAAACAATATTATATATCATAGAAAAATAAATTCAAATACACATGAGAAAAGGATGAAATAATAAAATATGTCATCTGAATTTTCTTAGCCATTCAGAACTGAGAAAATTTAGGATATAGGTTGGTAGTGATCTCTCTCTCCACTCCATCTCATTTCCTCTTTCCCTCCCTCCCTCCCTCCCTCCCTCCCTCCCTCCCTCCCTCCCTCCCTCCATCTCTCCATCACCTACACTCTATCTATTAGTGTATACTCTATACCTCTGCCCTTCTTTGGTCAGTACCTAGTTCCCTGTGAATATGTTTAGATGTAACTGAGACATAGTTATGTAAGGTCTGAAACTTGGGAGATGAAAAGCAAAGTTATTAGTGAGGAACCGTTTCCTTCATTTCCTGAGGCTCTGCAGGCCTCAAGTGGTTTTAAAACCCCAAACCTGAAACACAGAAATCCAGAATCCCAAACTTCAGTGATAATCAGGCAAAGAATAATCTAACTCTTACACACTAGACATCCGCAGTGGAGCACTAGGGTTCAGATATTTAGAATTTGAACTATAGCTGAAGCACAAACATGGAAAGCCCTGACTGGGTTCACCAAGTCTTGTTCTTTGGGCTTCAACTAAGGCTGTGAGGAGAAAGTGTCTGTGCAGTTGAATTCTGCATTATGGAAGGGACAGCGGTACCAGATGAAGAAGGAACTGTTGTCCATGCTTCCTCTCTGAAAAGCTAGAAAACCACAGGCAGAATAGGTGGATAATAAAAGAACTTTAAATGCTCCAAATCAGAAATACCATAAACAGGCACATCCCTGCCACAGCGTAGTCACAGGAAAGAGTTAGTCAAGCCACCTGTGTAGGGCCTCTGTTTGTGACATGTTTTTCTTCCTGTGTTTCAAGAGCATTCACTTGGCCAGTAAACAGGAAGCAGTTTTGGTTCCTAGCATATTTCTCCTTATTTCCTTATCTTTAAGAGTTTATGTATGTGGACTTCTTAGTAATGATTTCTGAGTTTCTTTACAATACCCATAAAGTGACTCAATATCACAAGTACAGGAATTTCCCATACCAGGCATCCTATCTTGAAAAAAGGCCTGACTGAGTTAGTGGTCTCATGTAAGCTTGTTCAAGAGAACCTGATTTTCAGTCTAATAATTCTGAAGGTTGTTGTAATGACAAACACCTTTGTACTAAGACAGAATTTTTATGCATCAGGATGAGAACGCAGAGGGATAGCACAGTACAAAGGAATGTGATTTGCAAAAGAATTTTGGGAAAGGAAACCAAATGCCAAGCAGCTGTCAGATTCCAGACATTAGCCTTGGAAGTTTATTGCTAGGGCTAGTGTTTTATTTTAATTTTTAATATTTTGATTTATTCTTTAACAGTCAGTTTCATAGATATGTCTATATTAATCACCTCTTGCCTCTCTCTGGTCCTGGACCACCCATGTTCATAACATGTCCCCCAATACTCCTTTCCTCTTCAGGCTCCCTCTCCCACACCAACTGAGCGTGGGGCCATCTATGGACGCACAGATAACTTTTCCTGGGGCATAACTTGAAAGAAGACTTCCTTTCCCTTTCTTAGCTTCCAATAGCTCCTCAGCTAGGGTGGGGGATGTTGAGAGCTCCACCCGCTTGCAATGTGAGGCTTCAAGACAAAAGTTGTATAATTTGCTGCAAAATACCTTAAGGGTGACTCAGAGTCTCATGAAAGCCATTGTAAAGGAAAAAATGGATCAATTGATGTCATGAACATATGTAACTCTAAATAGGATTCTGCCAACCCATCTACTTGTAATGGATAATGGATATCATTTGCGCGAGGGCAGAATTTTAAAAATGTAACCATAGAGAAAAGTTTTGGCATAGATGGGGAAACTTCCCATCAAATGGACAGTTCTTAAGATAGCTACTTATATAGTATTTCTTAGAAGGGACAATTAAAGTCACAATAATTTGGGGACAGTTCATTAGAATCATTGCTGTGTATAGATGGTTTTAGAGTTATGGGTTGAAAGTCAGGCAGGGAGTGGTGGATGTCTTAATATTTTGTTTGACTTTGTGGGTAGAGGGATGAATGTAAGAATCTGAGTCACTGTATGAATGAGATTGTACCTCACTTGGTAGAATAGAGTGCTAATTCTTCCCAAAGTGGCCAGAGCATCTGCTGTTTGCAAAGCAAAGTGTTCGGGCGAGGATTTGGAGATGTAACCAGTTGGTCATGTCATTTTCACTTGGAGAATTGCCCAGTCTTTTCATTGGTACCGTGCTATAACACTGCTCAAGGGAGTACATAGAAAACGTCCCAGTACACTGATGTTTAGGCGTGTTAACAGTGATTATAGCTGTGAGTGACAAACTCAGGTCTCATTTGACCAGCCCTGTGAATGAGATTGTCACTCATGGACATGGATATCAGACACATCAAGCTTTTAGCTTGAGATCCACTACTTCTGTATTACTGTCTTGTTGAGATTATGATTCAGAGGAGCGGAACCTTAGGCACAAGGTCAGGAAATAGACACATGACTCTAGAGGAGGCAGCATTGGAATCAACTTAGGATTTGCTACTTGCACCAAATCTACAGAGGCATGTGGGCAGTGTGACTCAAAGGCTGTGACTTCCATGATTCAATCACAAAAACTGTATCTCCTAAGAGGCTGCTATGTATGGTGGTTTGCTAAACGTCCTCCTTGCTGAAGGCGGTGCCGAGACTCACTGCTTGCCACAGCTTGAGGCACCAAAGCTCCGGCAGCTGGTCCTCACTGCCTCAGACCTCCCATCTTGAATTTCTATGTGAAATTCACTCACCGTTCCAGTGTCCACCTGTAACATGTGGCCATTACACTACTACACTGGTTACAACGCAGTGAGTGTCTATGTGATCTGATTAGATTCAACCAATCTTAACCCTAACTGCCTGGGATGGCACCTTCTTTAAAAGAAAAAAAAATCAGCTCACATCTAAAGGTGGGGTAACAGTGAGCCCAGGTACATGTCAAGACACTTTCAACCATGTCTGAACTTTCCTTTTCAGACATGCCTCCCCCTCTTGTTTATTTTTTTTACTGCCAGCTTCCAGTCCAATGGTAACAGTAAGTAGTTATGACATACCAGAATGTTCCATTGGAGGATAAGGCCCATTGATTACAAAATAAAAAGTATCAATAGAAGGAATGTATAGATGAGTTGTGCAAACAGTAAGCAATATGGATGTTTATCAAGATTGTTGGCAGAGGTGGAAGATGTTTCCAGAAAGGATAAGGGTCATACGAATGAAGGATAAGGGAGAAATGTGATAATAGATAAGAATTAATGATGGTAAAAATCCTATCAGGCAAGAAGGAAAAGTGTAGAGGAACACACCTTCTTGTCCTCAGCACGAGACAGGTAAAAAGCACAGAGGAACACACCTGCTTGTCCTCAGCATGAGTTAGGTGAAAAGTTCAGAGGAACACACCTGCTTGTCCTTAGCATGAGTCAGGTGAAAGGCATGGAGGAACACACCTGCTTGTCCTCAGCATGAGTCAGGTGAAAAGTGCAGAGGAACACACCTGCCTGTCCTGGGTGTGAGTCAGGTGAAAAGTGAATGCACAATGAATGACTTTTCTATAGTGCTTGAAAGATGACATTGGTAATATGGACATTTTAAAAGGTAAAGGGCACTCTTAAAATGTCCATAATGAGAGTTGATATTGTAAAGAAGGAGTATTTTCTTTTAGTATATAAAATTTGAATTAAACGTGGTCCTGTATCTCTGCATAGATTCTTGCATTTTGGTTTGGATTCCTGCAGTAGTGAAATAGAAAAGACTCGAGAGTCAGAGGAGTAAGTGCAGTGTTGGGAACCGCATCTTCTGGGCAGGAGTGGTGGTCACTGTGTTTTTTGGTTGCCTAGCAGCTGTGATTTCCTATGCATGGCCAGCACAAGCCTGAGCCCATCTGCATCCAGTTATGGGGATGAGAGAGGCTCACGAGGCTCTGCCCCTCCATGAGGCAGTTAGTGGTTGATCGGGGAGGGGAGACATTTTCTTCACTGGTGTAACCACTGGTAAGGTGTTCAGGGTCCTATAAACAAGTCCT